CAAAAGCAAAGCAGCTTTATTGGTATTTTCTTATAAGCACTATTAAGGATGGATTAATATGCTGCTAGAATATGATGCTGTGAGCAAAAATTTTTTGTGAAATTCTATTCACATTCAAAAATGAATTGAAACTCATACTATTTACCAAAAAGTGGCAAATAAGGGAACAACCCTTCACATAAGTAAATTGCACCCTAATGAATTTTAATAGATAAGTATATTTGATGTATAAGAATGCTTGTGATTTTTGAACATTGATCTTGTATCCTGAGACTTTGCTGAAGTTGCTTATCAGCTGAAGGAGATTTGGGGCTGAGACGATGGGGTTTTCTAAATATACAATCATGTCATCTGCAAACAGGGACAGTTTGACTTCCTCTTTTCCTAATTGGATATCCTTTATTTCTCTTGCCTGATTGCCCTGGCCAGAACTTCCAACACTATGTTGAATAGGAGTGGTGAGAGAGGGCATCCCTGTCTTGTGCCAGCTTTCAAAGGGAATGCTTCCAGTTTTTGCCCATTCAGTATGATAATTGGCTGTGGGTCTGTCATAAATAGCTCTCATTATTTTGAGATACATTCCATCAATACCAAATTTATTGAGAGTTTTTAGCATGAAGCACTGCTGAATTTTGTCAAAGGCCTATTCTGCATCTATTGAGATAATCATGTGGTTTTTGTCTTTGGTTCTGTTTATATGCTGGATTACATTTATTGACTTGCGTATGTTGAACCAGCCTTGCATCCCAGGGATGAAGCCCACTTGATCATGGTGGATAAGCTTTTTGATGTGCTGCTGGATTCAGTTTGCCAGTATTTTATTGAGGATTTTTGCATCGATGTTCATCAGGGATATTGGTCTAAAATTTTCTTTTTTTGTTGTGTCTCTGCCAGACTTTGGTATCAGGATGATATTGGCCTCATAAAAATGAGTTAGGGAGGATTCCCTCTTTTTCTATTGATTGGAATAGTTTCAGAAGGAATGGTACCAGCTCCTCCTTGTACCTCTGGTAGAATTCGGCTGTGAATCCATCTGGTCCTGGACTTTTTTTTGGTTGGTAGGCTATTAATTATTGCCTCAATTTCAGACCTGTTATTGGTGTATTCAGGGATTCAGCTTCTTCCTGGTTTAGTCTTGGGAGAGTGTAAGTGTCCAGGAATTTATCAATTTCTTCTAGGTTTTCTAGTTTATTTGTGTAGAGGTGTTTATAGTATTCTCTGATGGTAGTTTGTATTTCTGTGGGGTGGGGTACTAAGTACAAAAATGTGTTTGTGATAACACGTGTATTTTTCCTTCATGCATGTAAGTTTGAAACAAATTTGAAGACAAAAGTTCCTCTTCATGTATAGAAACTAGAACCTGTTAACTGGATACCTAATTTTTAACATGGTTTCTTTGTTTTACAGAGAAATATTTTATATACAAGATGGTTAAAATAGGTAAATGGCTGGTGTCTATTTGACATCTCTCTGAAATTTCATCCACTAATCTAATTGGAATGTCCTTTTTGAATTAAGCACTTGCTTTTTTACCTTTTACTATAAAACTTAATTTGTTATTTAGTCACAGCCATTATTAAATATAATATGTGCGATTATCAAATATTCTTATAGGACTACCAGACAGTGAAGGGGACCCAACAATAACTTGCTGAATGTTTGAATAAATGTTAAAGAAAGTATGCAATTATTTTATTATCTAAGAGCAGAGAAGAGACACTCAGGAAATGAATATTATTTATTTGTTATTTAATTTAGTACATCATTGTTATTTACATCCTGAGAGAGGCTTTGTTTATCGATATTTGACTGACTGCTTCTGATATAAGTCCAGAAATTTTATATAATAACGTAAAAACTTAAATATTTCTATCTCGTCAAAAATATTCAACTTAGTTCACTTGGCTGAGATAACTTTCCCTTTTCTTTCAAGTGATAGACTCAATCCTTTATTCCCTTTTTTTCAGATAATCATATTCTCTGAGAATCATATTTCAGAGAATCAATAACTCTTTTTATTAGCCTTGAAGATGACAAAACTACATTTATTGCATGCTAATAAAGTTAGAGACATCACAAAATCCTACTTATAATTCATGATTTTCATCAGTTTTTACTCTTGTTTTGCCCTTTGCCTTTTGATTTTGTTTGGTCTATTTTTGTTTCCCCAACTCACCCCAGTTGCCAAATTACCCAGTGGATCTTTCAAAAAGAAATAATGTTATATTCTGGGTAATACAATTTTTACGCATGTAGTACTTTAATATTAAAACGTTTATTCTCGCCAGGCGTGCTGGCTCACGCCTGTAATCCCAACACTTTGGGAGGCCAAGGTGGGCGGATCAGGAGGTCAGGAGATCTAGACCATTCTGGCTAACACGGTGAAACCCCGTCTCTACTAAAAAATACAAAAAAAAAAACTCGCTGGGCGTGGTGGCGGGCGCCTGTAGTCCCAGCTACTCAGGAGGCTGAGGCAGGAGAATGGCATGAACCTGGGAGGCGGAGCTTACAGTGAGTGGAGATCGCGCCACTGCACTCCAGCCTGAGCAACAGAAAGAGACTCCGTCTCAAAAAACAAAAAAGAACAAAAACAAACAAACAAAAAACAACAAAACAAACAAAAAAACTTTATTTTCTTTAAAGTAAATCGCTGAAGTTTGATGCATTCCAGAGTTTTCTAAATATTCCATATTATGGAGACTGTGAAATTACTCTCAAGTTTTCCAAGAAATGTACCAGGGAATGGTTTCTCAGTGATACTTTTTTTTTTTTGGCTAATGATATTCAGACAAATTTAACTAATGTATTTTTCTAATAGTATAAAATCGTTCATAAAATTATAATTTCATGGTTTGTTTCTTTGTTTTTTGAGACGGAGTCTCACTCTGTTGCCCAGGCTGGAGTACAGTGGCACAATCTCAGCTCACTGCAACCTCTGCCTCACAGATTCAAGCAATTCTCCTGTCTTAGCCTCCGGAGTAGCTGGGACTACAGATGTGCACCATCACACCTGGCTAATTTTTGTATTTTAGCAGAGACAGGGTTTCACCCTGTTGGTCAGGCTGGTCTCTAACTCCTGACCTCAGGTGATCTAGTCGCCTCGGCCTCCCAAAGTGCAGGGATTACAGGCATGAGCCACTGCACCCAGTCAGAATTTCATGTTTTTCTGTGATATACTTTTATGTTGTAGCTATCTTATGTTCCTGATTCACTAATCTGTCACTTATATGCCCCTGAAATCTTGCAAAAACCTACTTCTTTCATGTCTTCATATATTCACACATGCATTCATTTGTTCATTCAGTAAGTGCTTATTAGCCAATTACAGAATTGCAAGCTCTGAGCTAATGTCTAGAGATAAGATAATAAATAGCAAAGTGTTTATTATTTTCAATGGCAAAATAAGTCTTTATATAAGATATATAAAGCATTATATAAAACACTTTGCTTTTATATTTGTGTATTTCCTCTAGTCTCTAATTAAAGCATTAAAAGAAATAACATTTCATAATTTCTTATGACATCCAGGAAGCTCTAATATTTTGCAGAAATTCTTTAAACTTTTTTTTCCTGTATTGTGATATACGTGATTTGTATTTGGGCACATATGGTTTTAGGCCAGGACAAGAAAAGATGTCCACAATTCCACACTGGAATATGAAGTTCTAATTTTATAAATTACTTTATACTATTAGAAAAAAATGTATTAGTTAAATCTGTTTAAATGTCATACAATGTCCATATCAGTAATGAAAACTAACTAGAATTATCAAAACAAGTGGGGAAAAAAACACAAACTTTCTTTCTTATTCCAAGATTCACTAAAATCTGCTGTAATCAAATATTATATTGTGGGGAAACATAAAAACATACATAAATAGAAGAGATAAGATAGCCCATTTTTATTAGTAACAAAAGTTGTATACATTTTAGCCAAAATACAAGGCACACAAAAAAGTAACAGAGAGCTGTAAGACAAAGCAACTAACTAAACTAGACTTAGAGGTGACACAGAAGTTGTAATAATCTCTTCAGAAAATTTAAAAAACTGATTAATATGTTAAATACAATTATGGAAAAAGTGGATATCACAAAAGATTAGATGTGTGATTACCAATGGACTGGTAGAAACTGTAAATACAAAAGTCTAATGAAAATGTTAGAAATAAAAAACACAGTAAAAGTGATGAAGCATGCATTCAACAAGCTCATCCACCAACTCAACACATGAGTAAAGAACATGTAAACTTATCCCTTCAGATCAGGATCAAGGCAATGATGATCTCTCTCACTAGTTTCAAAAGTCCTAGTAAGTGAAATAAAATGAGACAAAGAAATAAGAATCATAGAGAATAAAAATGGTAAAATAAGTCTATTTATATAAGCAAGATATTTGCATATGTATTCATAGTCTATAGATCTATAACAAAATCTCCAGATTTAGTAAAATTATTTTGGAATGTCCCAGGGTACTAGTTCAATTACATATTTGCATAGTGGGCATGAACAACTGGAATTTTTTTTTTACTTTAACTTAATTTAATTTTTAGAGGTGGGGTTCTGTGTTACCTGGGCTAGACTCAAACTCCCTCCTGGGCCCAAGTGAGCCTTTTGCCTCAGAGTCCCAAAAGGCAGCACCTGTCCTAGGTTTAGATTTAGTGAGAAAGTATCTTACTGTTTCAGACTCAATGAGTATGGCTTTGTTCTGCTTAAGCATTGTGTTTCAGTGGCCCTCAGGCATGCCCCTAATTTTTGATATTTCAGACTTCCCAGAGGAGGTGTCAAGATCCCTCTACCACAGCACTAATGGGGTGCTCATAGGCCACTTTCCCTGCATTGTCTTCCAGGAGGGACTGTGGTGGCGGATGTCCACTATTGAAACTGATCTTGCTCTGTATCTTTTTGTGAGTAAAGTAATTTTCCACTAAGTATTTGACTTGTGTTTTGTTGGTAACTCCAATACCAGGAGACAGTAGGCAGAAGTATCTGCACTTCTATTCCTGGTGGCTGGTATTGTGATGATCTTCATTATCCTCCATATTGTGAGAGTCCTCTTCTGGCATTAGTAACTGGTACACAGTGCTCTGCTCTACATGTGTTATCATGTTCTGGGCAAAATAATAACATAGAACCGATTAGAGAGCACATAAATAGACACATAACATACAGTGTGCTATTCATTAATAACAATGCAAAAGAAACTCACTAGAGAAAGTTTTGTTCACTCAACCAGTGGTGCTTAACTAACTGGAACTTCAATGCATACATCTAAACTTATGCGAACGTTAAATCAATATGAATGATAGACTGAAATCTAAAATTTAAAACTGTAATTCATGAATTATATAATATATAGAGAAAAATCTTCATAGCCATATATTAGAAAAAAGGTTTGTTTTGTGTCACAGTACCCTTTACAAGAAAAATATAGATAAATTGGACTTATTCAAAATTAGAAACTAGTTTTTCATGAATAAGTGAACTAAATCCTTTTAAGTGAATGAAAAGAAAAACCATGCATTGTCTAGTAAAAGGAATCAGAGATTCTTGAAGTGGTTGGTTCACCTGATGATTAGAAGCATCTTGTGCTGTATGAGAATGAGGCAATATTCAAAAAAGTCTGGAGATATGCTTAAATGGCACAGAAAACAACCTAAAAAAGCTCCTATGGGCTAACATTAGAAAATTTTGAGTAAAAATAAGTAAATAAATAAATGCACTGGATTATGACCCAGAAATGTTCTTCAAGTAGTGAATGAAAAAACAAATTGTAGAATCCCTAAACAATCAATTATTACACAAAAATCAAAACAATGGGCAACTAATACATAGATAAGGTGGTTAACTGACAACTAATACAACTGAGTTGGGGAAAGCTTGATGTCAACAGTCCTCTACCATTACAAGAGCCGCTGATAAAACAAAAATATCTGGGTATAGAATTGCATAAAAATAAAACATAACCAGTGAGTCATGCTGCTTAGTTCTTGCTCTAAATGCAAAATTTAGCAGTGTCTAACCCAACTAGGGTCTGGATTATGCAAACCCTCTCCATAGTTAAAAGAAATAGGAACTGATGGAGTACAATAATAGTAATTGATTTTTTAAATAAAATTATCTTGTAGAAATGGAAAAAATGAATAGAATTTAAATTATATTGTACAGCTCTTAGATAATATGTTTACTATAGGTTCATCCAAGTGTTATTAATTGACCATTAAGTGTTCAAGTATTATTAATTGAGCTTCTATTTTGTCTTAGGCATTTTGTAAATTTTTGAAGACATAACAGTGAACAATACATATTTCCTTACCTTTGCAAGCTTCCCATCTAATTAGAGAGACATAACACTTTTTCTCTCTCAACCTCACCCCCTTCTTTCTCCCTCACACACACATATACAAACACAAAGATATAATTTTTGACAATCTCCAATGAATTTGGGGAATTCCAAACTCTTATCAAAGTCTCAGCATCTTCTTATCTTCTCAAACACAACTTTGATCCTAGACCATCTTGAACTTTCTAAGGTTCCTACATGTCCTGTAATGATGCATGAATAAAAATAAAAGCACCCATCTCCCCCTTTATTGCCTAATGAATTCAACACTTTCAACAACCAGATTTTAGAGGAAGATAAATTAGGTGCAGCTATAAGTTCATTTCAGGGCTGACTGTTGATTGAAACATGAAGGATACATTTTCAAACTCAGTACTGATTTATGTTACTTCATCAAAAGATAAATAAGGTGAGATTTTACTTATTAATATGACATAGGTTTAATCTCTTTTCTACTTGAGCTGCAAACTATTTCTAGGTCTTAATGAAACTAGTTTAATGATATTTTTAGGATTGCAAATGTATTTTAACTATCAGTATCTAAGTTAATATGATTTTCTAAATTATTGCAATTTCTGGAATTTAGATCTGGTTTTTATATATACACACACATATATATTTGTATATATACATATATGTGTGTGTATATATATATCTGTATATGTGTGTATACACACAGATACACACATATAATGTATATGTATATATAAATGATAAAGAATATACTGACCTTCCAACTTCTTATAGTTTTTCTTCCTCCAGCAAAGAGAAAGTTGACACATACTAGTCACTATGACTACTAATCAATTATAGTATATAACTGGAACTCATCAATTGTTTTGCCTCATTTGCTTACCCAAATGGCTAAAGTACTGGACTGTCTTCTTTCTTGCAAGATCAAATCTATATTTGATCTTGGATTATTTTTATAAAGTAGTCACAGAGCTCAACAGGATAGCAAAAACTGCTGAATTTTATATGGACTCTGGTTTATAAGATATCCTGGTCCAGCATTAAAATATCTTGTGGATAGTAATTAGAACTACACAACTTTCTTAGTTTGGAGTTCTAAAATACACTTTTTGATTGATAGTATCTTAGCAGAATATGTGCCTTTTAATTTAATATCTGATTTAACCTGATAATTAAAAATGTCCCAATTTCTCAAAATATTACTGAGATAAATATCTTGACAGTCCAACGGGAACACATGGACTCAATTTCAAATATTAAAAATGTAATATATAACTGAGAATCTTATGGAAGTTAATCTGATTTATCAGTCAGTATAATATTTCCTTCTATACAATTCTTCATGATGGTTTTGCATTTGTATAAGCTCCTTACCTACCCTTACTTCAGGGTAGCTTTTAAGTTGGGTATCTGCCCCAGATAGTCTAGGATTATCTACCTCCTACTACCCTGAAACACAGTAACTTGCTTTGATCTGGTCTTCCTCGTTTTCGTCTTGTGCCATGCATCTGAATTCTACATCTTTACCAATCCTTTTCAGGATCATATCTTATTTGGACTCTTCATAAGGCCTTTATTCCTATTTATTAATATATACCTATAATAAATAAGTTTAGATGTCATTTGACTAGATTAAGGGATGTCTAGATATCTGGTAAAGCAGTATTAGCAGGTGTGTCTTGTGAGAGTGTTTCCACAGGAGATGGCATGTGAGTTGGTAGACTGAGTAGGGAATATCCCACCTCAATATGGGCCAGGAACCATCCAATAGGCTGGAAGCCCAATAGAACAAAGACAGTGGAAAGGAAAATTCACTCTTTGTTTTCTGAAGTTGGAATGGCCTTCTTCTCTGGCCTTTTGATATGGGCATCAGAATGGCAGGTTTTTGTTCTTTGGACTCCTGGACTTGTACCAACATGCCTTCACCTCCTGCCCCTACCACATTCACAGGCTTTTGGCGTTGGGTTCAGTGTTACACTGTTGTTTCTCTGATTCTGAGGGTTTGGGACTTGAACAGTCTTGCTACCAGCTTCCCTGGCTTCCCAGTTTTCAGACAACATGCTATGGAACTTCTTAGCCTACATAATAATGTGAGCAAATTCCCTTAATCAATCTCCTCTCTATGATATATGTATCTGTGTATCTATCTATCTATCTATCTATCTATCTATCTATCTATCTATCTATCTATATCCTATTCATTGGGTCTTTCTGGAAAATCCTGAAAAATAAATTGATTACAAATTTTATCAATATAAATAATATGTAGTACACAATTTACAGATGATAAAATATTTAATACTGCTTCTTGCAAATTTTACATAGCCAATTGGTTCTGACATAATTGTCTTATTTTTCCAGCTTGAATGAAGTGTAATTGACAAATAAAAGTTGTATTCATTTAAGATATACAATTTTATGATCTGATATACATGTACATTGTGAAATACTCACCATAATCAAGCTAATTAACACGTACATTACTTCACATTATTGCTATTGTCTTGTTGTTGTTCTTTTCTGTGTGCGTGTCTGTGGGTGGAAAGAACATTTAATAGCTGCATGATTTTAAATCAACTCAGTACCTGCATCTTATATTACATCCAGATTCATGCTCTGCAGCTTGGCATAAACTCTCTACCTCACAACTGCATGCCCTCAAAATCTGTCCCCCAAATAATTATCCTCTTCTTGGCTTTTAAAACTTATTTAAGTAGCTATTGTATCTTCATTTAGCTCTTTCTTCTACAGATAAAATATCCACTGTAACTTCAATGAATCCTTGTAAGCCACAAAATATAGTGCAATGGTTTAAAACTGTATTTAAAAGATGTCTAGGAGTCATGCATATAAAGAGTGAATAAGACCTAGTATTTGATAGCACAACAGGGTAGCTATAGTAAAGAATAATTTAATGGCACATTTAAAAACAACCAAAAGAGTATAATTGAACTCTTTGTAACACAAAGAATAAATGCCTGGAGGGATTAATACCCCATTTTCCATGATGTGATTATTATACATTGCATACCTGCATCAAATATCTCATGTACTTCATAAATATATATACCTACTATGTACCCACAAAAATTAGAAGTTAAAAATTTTAAAAATCTTAAAATAAAAAAATTGAAAAATCACACAGATATCTATACAAATATAGATCAGAATAACTGTCCCTCACTTTGCTATTGTAAATAGTGCTGCAATAAACATACATGTGCATGTGTCTTTATAGTAGAATGATTTATATTCCTTTGAGTATATACCCAGTAATGGGATTGCTGGGTCAAATGGTATTTCTAGTTCTAGATCCTTGAGGAATCTCCATACTGTCTTCCACAATGGTTGAACTAATTTACATTCCCACCAACAGTGTAAAAGCGTTCCTATTTTTCCACAGCCTCACCAGCATCTACTGTTCTTAACTTTTTAATAATCACCATTCTGACTGGAATGAGATGATATCTCATTGTGGTTTTGACTTGCATATCTTTAATGATCAGTGATGTTGAGCTTTTTTACATATGTTTGTTGGCCACTTAAATGTCTTCTTTTGAGAAGTGTCTGTTCATATCCTTTGCCTACTTTTCGATGGGGTTGTTTATTTCTTGTAAATTTGTTTAAGTTCTTTGTAAATTTTGGATATTAGACTTTGTCAGATGTATAGATTGCAAAATTTTTCTCCCATTCTGTAGGTTGCCTTGCCTGTTCACTCTGATGTTAGTTTATTTTGCTGTGCATAAGTTCTTTATTTTAATTAGATCCCATTTGTCAATTTTGGCTTTTGTTGCAATTGCTTTGATGTTTTCATCATGAAGTCTTTGCTCATGCCTGTGTCCCGAATGGTATTGCCTAGGTTGTCTTCTAGTGTTCCATCCCATATGCCTATCAGTGATAGACTGGATAAAGAAAATGTGGTACTTGTACACCATGGAATACTCTGCAGCCATTAAAAAATGAGATCATGTGCTTTTTAGGGACATGGATGAAGCTGGAAGCCAACATCCTCAGCAAACTAACACAGGAAAACAAACACACACCACATACTCACTCATAAGTGGGAGTTGAACAATGAGAACACATGAACACAGGGAGGGAAACAACACACACCAAGGCCTGTTGAGGGGTGGGAGGTAAGGGGAGGGAACTTAGATTGTGGGTCAATAGGTGCAGCAAACCACCATGGTACCTGTATACCTAGGTGACAAACCTGCACGTTCTGCATATGTATCCAGAACTTAAAGTAAAACTAGAAAAAAAAATTGTGAAAAATCATAGAACAATGACATGCAATAGAAACATATTAATTTAAGATACTATAATTTTACATTAACTGTCCAGTATTATTTTATTTTCCAGTCTTTTTATGATCTCTAGCTCAATTTCTCAAAGGCCTTATGAGTTCACAGATCTAAATTAAGAATTACCCATTTGTCCATTAAATCTTTGAAAACTGCATTGTTCAGGTTTCAGTTGAAATAATATTACATAAAAATAATCCCAAACTTAGTTGTTTGCCACAATACACATTTATTTCCTTCTCATGGATGTGCAAGTAGGCTATAGTTCTGTTAGGCTTGGCTGTGATCAGCTGAAGTCATCTTCTGTATGACATTTGGGTTCAAAACTGCTTCACGTGTCTACCTATAATTTTTATTACTTAACCTGCTATACTTGCTGTTATCTGTTGTATAATATTAAATAGAAGTGGTGATAGCAAGTTATCTTTGCATGGTTCACTATCTCAGAGGGATAAAATTCCATTTTTTTGCTATTAAGTATAACATCTTTTTTGGGAACTCTATATCAGTAAAAACAAGTTCATTTCCTCCATAGTTTGCTAAGAGTTTCTATTACAGATGCTGAAATAGATGAAGAGCTTTATGGCATATGTTGAAACGGTGTCATCATTTGTTTTCTGCTGATAATATAGTGAATTATATTACATATTATTATGTTTTGATGTTGGACCAAACTAGCACTCATGGAGTAACTCCAGTGTTCATATTTTATATAAATTATAAAATTCAATTTACTATTATTTGAAGTTGAATTTGTGTTAATAATGGGAGATTAGTCTGAAATTTTTGCTCCTTTTCATGTTATTGTCAGATTTTGACATCAAATACATGCTGGCCACATGAAATAAGTTGGAAAGTATTATCTTTCTTCAATGTGTGTATAATAAGCTCTTTTTAAAAATATGTATGTATACATGTATATGTGTGTGTGTGTGTATTCTGAGGTTTCAGAAGGTGGACATTATTTAATTTTAAAAACTTTGGAAATACTGAAAAGGCAGGCATCTGAGCCTTATGCTCTATTTGTAAAAACATTTTAAATGCAATTTTGATTTCTTTAATAAAATAGGCTTAGATTTTCTTCTAAAAAAAGAATAATTGTCAATTTCTCATCAGAAAAAACAACAAACCACAGAGAAATAGAATGGCATGGCACTTTAAACTACTGAAAGAAGAAAAATATCACTTTAAAATTTTATATCTACCAAACCTATCTTTCCAAAATAGAGCTGAAATAAAGACTTTTAAAATGAACAAGAACTTTCCAGAGTCAAACGCTAACCTTTAAAAAAGCAAAAAAAAAAAAAAAAAAAAAAAAAAGAAAAAAGGAACAAGAACTAAGAGAACTCATTGCCAGAAGTTCTGTACTACCCAATACTTTAAAACATTATTAAAAATAAGAAGAAATACTATCAAATGGAAACATAGGCCTACATGATGAAAAGAAATGTATATTTTAGACACTGAATATCTAAAAATATACAATATATAAAAAGAAATAAATCTTTTAGATATGAAATATCTAAAAGATGATTTTATTTTCTTATTTTAAAATATATATGGCTGTTTAAAGCAAAATAATGATAACATATTATGGAGTTTATAAAATATATTGAAGTTAAATATGTGATAATGATAGCACAAAAGTTGGAAGTAGAATAAATCAACGTATGCTGTTTTAAGTTTCTAAAATTTTGTTGTAATTTCTAAAAAATGCTATATTAACTTGGTGAAAAATTAAGGATGGGCATTATTGATATTTTGAGCTAACAATAAAAATATAAACCAAACACCAATTGGCTAAAATGTTAGTAAATGAGATAGAATTGTAAAAAATAAATGCTTCATTTAATAAAAAGATGACAAGAAATATGAAACAAAGAACACATAGAACAATAAAAATGCAAAGATTGTACACTTAAACCAACAGTATCAAAAATTATTTGAAATATAAATAAAGTAAAACTCTCCCACCCAAAAAAGTAGCGCAGAGATTGACAGGTCAAATAAAAAAGCAAGACTCAACTATATGCTATTTCTGAGAGATAAGCTATAAACACAGTACCAAATAGTAAGACATAAAGGAGAGAAAAAGATATACTGTGAGAACTCTAATCAGATTTTAAAGTGACAGGTTTAAATAATTTCAACCATTTGTGTTTTAGAGCAGAAAAAAATTACCATATATAAAGGCATTCATAAAATAGTAAAATAGCCAACTAATCAAGAGGACATAACTGTTCTAAATGAACACAAATGTAATAACAAAGAATTGAATTATACAATACAAAAACTGAAAGAACTAAAGGAAGAATTAAATCACAATAAGGTGGGAGATTTAAGATATTCTCTTAACAATTGACAAAACAATTATTTTTATAAAAATCAGTACCTGGTGTCTGTGTGTGTATCAACTTTTATAGAACATTAGATCATTAGAACTGCCATGACATAACAGAGACTTTTTCCAATGTACATAGAAGGCTCATCAAGGTAGTTCATATGCCAGCCTATAAATTAAGCTCAAATACATTTTTTCAAAATGGAAATACATAGCAAATGTTCTTTCAGGAAAAAATGTAATTAAATTTGAAATCAATAAAAAATAAGATACCCAAAAATTTTCCCAATATGTGGAAATTAAGCAACACCCCTACAAACTGAATCAGGGAAAGGCATTCTACCTTCACACCATGAACAGAAATTAATTTTATATAGTTTATAGAATTAAATGAAAGGACCAAACATATAAACCTTCTGGTGAGAAACAACAAGGGTAGACAGAAATGGGTTTTCAGAACAGGGAAAAGAAAACTCACAAGACAAGCGATTGATAAATTTAACTTCTTCTGTGTCACAGAAGAACAATAATTGAGAGAGTGATAAATTTGGCTTCTTCTGAGAGAGAAGAGGTATATCCTTTATATATGTGTGTATAAAATATGTGAGCTATATATTTCTCTCATAGATGTATATAGATTAATATATATGAGATATATGTCTCATGTACATAAGATATATATGAGGTATATAAAGCAGATTAGAGTCAAGAAGGTACAATTACATATATATGTCAGATGAGATATATTTCACATATGTGCATCTCATATTTATATCTCATATATATCTCATATATTAAAAATATATCTCATATATATATCCCATATCATATATATCTCATATCTCATATATATATGTCCTATGTTATATATATATATATATACACAC